GTCTCTATAAAGTTAATTTTAAAAACAGAAGTTAAGCACCCCCCTCCTTGTTTGGAAATGGCATTTCACTCTATCATTCAGGCTGTCCTGAACTCCTCACTTCCCTCCCTCAGTGTGGTGGTCTGAAGAGGAATGGCCCAGACAGACTCTGTTTGGATGCTTGGCCCACAGGGAGTGACACTATTATGAGGTGTGGCAAACTTGGAGGACTCATCTGCTCAAGCTACTCCCAGTGTGGCACACAGTCTCCTAGGGCTGCCTGTGGATCCAGATGGAGGACTCTGAGCTCCTTCCCCAGCGCCACGTCTGCCTGCATGCCACCATGATGACAATGGGCTAAACATCTGAACTGTAAGTCACCCCAATCACATGTTTTCCTTCCTAAGAGTTGCCATGGCCATGGTGTCCCTTCACAGCTTCCCCAGTGCTGGCATGATAGGCATGCACTACCACATGCAGCCATCTTTGTGTGCGTACAGGGTTATTTTGTATAATGTTTAGTACGGCAACCATTTCTAAGTGTAGTGTTGAGTACTAAGTGCATTCATACTGTTGGGCAACCAACACAACTCCAACCACCATCCATCTCTGAACTCTTCATCTTACAAAACTCCAAGACCAGCCCAAGCTACATAGTGAGTTCCAGACCAGCCTGGGCTAAGGATGAGACCCTGTCTCCAATAAATGCTCTAAAATGTATTCGCTGCACAGTAAGTCCTTACCACTCTCCCCACCGTTTTACTTCCCATTCTATGATTCTGACTATTCTAGAGACTCCACGTAAATGGAAGCTCTCTCTCGCTTGCTCTTTTTTTTTTTGAGACAGGATTTCTCTGTGGCTTCGGAGGCTGTTCTTTAACTTTCTCTGTGTAGACCAGGCTGGTTTTGAACTCACAGAGATCCGCCTGCTTCTGCCTCCTGAGTGCTGGGATTAAAGGTGTGCACCACCAATGCTCGGCACTCACTCTTGGTGTGTGTGTGTGTGTGTGTGTGTGTGTGTGTGTGTG